AAATTCCTGCAGATGATAAGATCATTATCCTTGGTGATTTCAAGCCAGAGTAGGAAAGAACCCTGAAACCTGGAAAGGAGTACTAGGCAAGCAGGGTGTTGAGAACTGCAATGAGAATGGTCGCCTTCTGCTAGAGCATCTCACCATCACCAACACTATCTTTCAGCAGAAATATAGTTTGAAGACAACCTGGATGCATCCTTGATCCAAGCATTGGCACCTCATTGACTATGTCTTGGTGCGACAGAGAAATGTTCGTGATGGTCGTCACACTCGCGTGATGCCTAGTGCAGAATGCCAAACAGATCATCGACTTGTGCATTGTAAACTTAACTTCCACCTTAAGTTCACACCTAAAAGGGGTGGCATTCCAAGGAGGAGACTTCAAGTTAACAACCTTCAAACAGCTACAGTGAGAGACAGTGTCCAGGCAAATCTTCAATCCAGACTCGAAGTTCATTCCACAGATCTTTCTCCTGAAACACTTTGGCAACTTATTAAAAATAGCATCCTGCAGTCCTCTGAAGAATCCCTAGGGTTCTCCTTCAAGAAAAACAAGGACTGGTTTGATGAAAACAATCATGAGATCCAGGAATTGTTGAGAAAGAAGAGAACTGCTCACCAAGCACACCTTGCTCAACCATCTTGCTATGTAAGAAAAGCAGCCTTTCGTCTTGCGTGCAGTAAGCTCCAACAGAAACTCTGAGACATCCAGAACAAGTGGTGGACCAATCTAGTGGAAAAAATCCAATTATGTGCAGATACAGGTGACTACAGGGGATTCTATGAGGCTCTGAAAACAGCCTACGGTCCTATACACCAGGTTCAAAGCTCTTTAATCAGTGCAGATGGTCAAATGCTTCTCACAGATAAAGTTTCCATTTTGAATCGATGGTCTGAACACTTTCAGACTCTCTTCAGTACCAACCATGTAGTTAAAGGCTCAGCAATCCAGTACATTTCACAACAATCAGTGAAAACTGAATTGGATACTACCCCCAATATGGGAGAAACTCTTAAAGCCATACAGCAGGTGAAAATTGGCAAGGCAGCTGGGGTTGATGGAATTCCACCTGAAGTCTGGAAGCATGGTGGCTAAGCACTCCATGCTAAATTTCACGAGTTCGTGGTGCGCTGTTGGGAACGAGGCAAATTACCATCAGATCTTCCTGATGTAGTCATCATCACCTTGTACAAGAAGAAAGGAGATAAATCAGACTGTTCAAATTACTGAGGTATTACTTTGCTCTCCATTGCTGGTAAAATCCTCGCAAGAATTCTTTTGAACAGATTAATACCTGCTATAGCAGAAGAAGTTCTACCTGAAAGCCAATGTGGTTTCAGAGCCAATAGGAGTACCACAGATATGGTATTTGTTCTCAGACAACTGTAAGAGAAGTGTAGGGAACAGAACAAAGGACTCTATGTAACTTTTGTTGATTTTGCAAAAGTTTTTGATACTGTGAGCAGAAAAGGTCTGTGGCAGATTTTGGAACATTTAGGATGTCCCCCCAAGTTCCTCAAAATGATCATTTTGCTTCATGAGGATCAATGTGGCCAAGTCAGATATGGCGATGCACTTTCTGAGCCCTTTCCAATAACCAATGATGTGAAGCAAGGATGTGTTCTTGCACCAACTCTATTCGCAATCTTTTTCAGCATGATGCTCCAAAGGGCCACGGCAGACCTAAATGAAGAAAACAGTATCTACACCTGATATTGTACCGATGGAAGCCTTTTCAACCTAAGGTGACTGAAGGTCCACACTAAGACCTTAAATCATCTTGTCCGTGAGCTGCTTTACACTGATGATGCCGCCCTTGTCGCCCACACAGAAGTAGCTCTGCAGCATTTAATATCCTACTTTGCAGAGACTGCTGAGCTTTTTGGGCTGGAAGTCAACTTGAAGAAAACAGAAGTTTTTTACCAACCTGCACCTCAGGAAGTCTTCCATCATCCCGATATCATCATTGGCGAATCAGAGCTCAAATCAGTCCAGTAATTTAATTACCTGGGAAGTATCATCTCCTCGGAAGGTAAGATTGAGGAAGAAATAGACAACAGGCTAGCAAAGGCATAGAGAGCTTTCAGTAAACTCCATAAAACAGTTTGGTATAATAAACACATGAAGAAAAGTACAAAGATCAGTGTTTACAGAGCCATTGTACTGTCTACTCTTTTATATGGGTCTGAATCATGGGTCATTTATCACCACCACTTGCGTCTCTTAGAACACTTCCATCAGCGCTGCCTCCGTACAATCCTAAACATACACTGGATGGATTATGTGACCAACGTCTGTCCTTGAACAGGCAGCAGTCACGAGCATTGAGGCCATGCTACTGAGAACACAGCTGCGCTGGGCAGGGCACGCCTCCAGGATGCAGGACTACCACCTCCCTAAGATTGTGCTCTGTGGGGAACTTGCCACTGACTGCCACAAGAGAGGAGCCCCAAAGAGGAGATACAAGGACTCCCTGAAACAATCCCTCAGCCTTGGCCATATTGATCATCACCATTGGTCTACTCTGGCCTCCAATTGGGAAACATGGAGACACACTATCTATAACGCTGCTGCTGCTTTTGAGAACACATGCAGAATTATTCTTGAGGAGAAAAGACAACACGGAAAAAAAATGTGTCTTGCAGATACCACCTAAGGAGACTTTCCGCTGTGCCTTCTGCAACCGGACTTGTCTATCTCGCACTGACCTTTTTAGCCATCAGGTCGCTTGCAGCAAGCGTGTGTAGAGTCCTTTCCAAATCTTCATTTGCAAAGCCTAACCATAATGATGATGACTAAATTGGGAGGAGCTGATCACTCCCTTGAAAGCAGAGAGGTTCTGCAGAGAGACCTTGAAAAATGAGAGGACTAGTGTAGTGGTTTGGAGTCTAGGCCTTCCTTGGTAACCAGGTTGTAACCAAGGAACCAAGGCCATTTTCCCAGTATTCAATACGATTTTTATGTAAGTAAGGGTATAAAGAAGAAGGGAGAGGAAGTTCTTGCTCTTTTTCTTCTGGTAGACTGAAAGCAAAGGTTTTCTGCTATCATTCTGCCCGGGTGAAGGAGTGAGGCCTAGTGGACCTGGTTGGCCTTGAGAAGCAGATAGTGCAGGCAGTTGCTGATGCAGTTCTCTGCTATCTTGAGGAAAGTATCTGTTTTTGTCCCTTTTTCCCTTTTCCCTTTTCCTTTCCCTTTCTTTTTCCCTTTTGGGGGTTCCCTGTAAATAATATCTTAAGTGTATATAATTCCAAAAAATATATAAATATATATTACTTGGAATTCGGTTGGTTTCGGTTCTTTTCGTTTTATATAGTCTTTTTGGTCTGTCTGAAGAGAGGGAGAGGGAGGGGGAAGGTTTTTTACTGTGGTCCAGGCACTTGGCTGGAAACCAACCTGAGACAACTGGGCAATCAACAACCATATGAAGTTCAACAAGGGAAAGTGCCAAATTCTGCACCTGGGATGGGGCAACCCTGGATATAGGACAGACTGGGGAATGAGAGGCTAGAGAGCAGTGCTACAAAAAGGGACCTGGGGGTCTTGGTTGACAGCAAGTTGAATATGAGTCAGCAGTGTGCCCTGGCAGCCAGGGGGGCCAAGCGTGTCCTGGGGTGCATCAGGCAAAGCATCGCGAGCCGGTTGAGGTAGATGATTGTCCTGCTTTACTCTGCACTAATGAGGCCTCACCTTGAATACTGTGTGCAGTTTTGGTCACCGCAATATAAGAAAGATATAAAGCTATTAGGGAGTATTCAAAGGAGGGCAATGAAGATGGTGATGGGCCTTGAGGGGAAGCCATATCAGAAGTGGCTGAGATCACTTGGTCTATTCAGCCTGGAGGAGACTGAGGGGAGACTTCATTGCAGTCTACAACTTCCTCACGAGGAGAAGTGGAGGGGCAGGCACTGATATCTTCTGTGGTGAGCAGTGACAGGACCTAAGGAAATGGTCTGAAGCTGTGTCAAGGGAGATTTAGGTTGGATATTAGGAAAAGGTTCTTCACTCAGAGGATGGTTGGACACTGGAACAGGCTCCCCAGGGAAGTGGTCACAGCACCAAGCTTGCAAGAGTTCAAGAAGTGTTTGGACAACTCGAGCACATTATGTGATTCTTGGGGCTTTCCAGTGCAGGACCAGGAGTTGGACTTCAATGATCCTTGTGGGTCCCTTCCAACTCAGGATATTCTATGATTCTATGAACTGACTACAACCCCCATTCTCCATCCCCCTGTGCCGCTGTGGGGAACAAGTAGAGAAAATAGGGAGTGAAATTAAGCCCAGGAAGAAAGGAGGGGTGAGGGGAAGGTGTTTTAAGATTTGGTTTATATTCATTATCCTACTCTGATTAGATTGGTAATAAATTCAATAATTTCCCCAATTGAGCCTGTTTTGCCCATGATGGTAATTGGTGAGTGATCTCTCCCTGTCCTTATGTCAACTCATGAACCTTTCATTATATTTTCTCTCCCCAGTCTAGGTGAGGAGGGGAGTGCCAGAGTGGCTTTGGTGGACACCCAGTGTCAACTTATCATGGTGGGACATCAATCATGAGTTAGAATGATGGTCTTTCAGAAATCAATGTGCACATGATTTACTGAAAAAAATGTGAACATTTTTTCTATCTTTCTATACAGTACACAAGTTTTTCTAACAAATAAATGAAGCTTCAATTCTGCAAACACAGACATACAATACTTTTTCCACATACAGAGCTACTACTTTGTTAGGAGTACACATGAGAATCACATTATCTACAATGTTCAAATGTAGAAAAAGGAAGAACTATTTACCTCTGCAGAGGAAAGAATTAAACATGAGTAGATTACTATGAAAACATTTATATTATTTCCTTAAAATTTTAATTAGAAACTTTTTAAATAGCTGCAATGTTTTAATATTCATGGCACTACTCTAAACTTCTGTAATAAACCCATTTTTTTTTTACACATCAGCTAGTTTTCATATAAGACAAGGTTTCAAGCTGGGAATATACTTACATAGACTCGATATCTTTTTCTTTTTTCATTATTCCTGAAAAACCAAAAGGCTTCCTCTTTCGTGGTTTTATCCCTGTGAAACAAACACTTTTCATTTAAAGATCAAAGAAATTAGTATATATGTCAATATGTCAGACACTGGTGCATACCAATGCCAATACCTTTTAAAAGCTGCCATGACAAGTGATACAAAAATCTAACAGTGGAGGTAGGTATGGAGCTAAACTAAATGAACAGAAGAATAAACTAAGGGAACATTATTCCAATATGTTGTTCAGTAACATAATGTGCCAGTTTGGGATGGAGCAGTTATTTTCTTTACAGTAGCTTATATGGGGCTGTGTTTTGGATTAGTGCTGAGAACAATGTTGATAACACAGGGATGTTTTCATTATTGCTGAGCAGTGCTGACACAGAGTTAAGGCCTTTTCTGCTACTCACCCCACCCCACCAGTGAGTAGACTGGAGTGCACAAGAAGATGGGAGGAGACACAGTGGGGACAGCTGACCCCAACTGACCAAAGAGATATTTCAGACCATATGACATCATACTTGGTAAATAAAGCTGGCGGAAGGAGGAGGTAGGGGGAACGTACAGAGTGATGGTGTTTGTCTCCTCACTGTTATGCATGATGGGGTCCTGCTTTCCTGGAGATGGCTGAATATCTTCCTGCCCATGGGAAGTGGTGAATTAATTCCTTGGTTTGCTTTGCTTGAGCACATGGCTTTTGCTTTCCCTATTAAACTATCTTGATCTCAACCCACAAGTTTTATCACTTTTACCCTTCCAATTCTCTCCCCAATCCCACTGGAGGAGAGACAGCAAGCAGCTGTGTGGGGTTGAGTTGTCTACCAAAGTTAAAATGCATCAGCTTCATAAAATAAAAAAAAAAGGTTCACACAACACATTAATAACATAAAAACATAAACCTTTATAAAAGTAATCTCTGTTTTACATCCAACTCTCCAAACTGGGTATGCTAGACTATCACTTATAGAAGATGAGTGCACTGCCAGATTTGAGGAAAGGGACTCTGCTCACAGAAACTCAACGGGAGCTATTGATCCAGCCAATCCTGAATAGCCAATGCACTTGGGTCAGAAACTGAACTCAGCTACTGCAGTTCAATACTCTGTTCTTATTTCCCTCCATGTTCCTGATACCTGCAAGCCTTTGTCTCTCCTAAAAATCAGCATCTTGGTCCTGTAAAAACTAACATCTCTTGGCTTCCCAGCTGATGCTGACTTCATGATTTTCCAGTGCTGTAGCCAGCAATAATGCTGGTTCCCTCTGAGTCTAGAACCATGCCTTCTCTTTGTCTTTTCTTCCCTGGTTTTAGCACTGGATATATATAGCTTCAGTAAAGAAAAAAGTTTGCTTTCATACCCATTTAATGCACTACAATTAAAATATATCTAAATATTCCATCAGACTTATTGCCATGTCTGATTCTCTCCCCATTTTTTGCTGAATCAAAGTAGACTGCCAAACTTGAAACAAAATGACCAAGTGCAAGCATCTGATCCAACTAGTCTATAGTTTTATTTTGATGTAAGATACTACCTACAGCAAGACTTTAGGCAAAATGGTGGAAATAATTTTGTTTCTATAATTTAACAACTGACAATTTGAGCACATAATTAAGAAAAACCTCAGTATTCCCATTTACAGAAATACATTACACAACACATAAGGAATCTCTTCACTTTTAGAAATTTTCAGGGTGAAATAACTCAAAACTTCTCACAAATCAGGTAGCTATAAACTCAGCCATATCTTATAGTTTAAAAGAGACAGAAATAGCATCAAAACTATTTTTAAATGCTAGCCTGGGATTTAGTTCCTTTTTGTGCTTTATCCAGACCAAAACAATGACAAATGGAATGTGAGAGCAGTTTCTTAACATGTATTGCCTTTGCTTCAGTCAAAAGGCTTATCATCGAATCCCAGAATGGTTTGGGTTGGAAGGGACCTTAAAGATCATCTAGTTTCAACCCTACTGCCATGGGCAGGGACACCTTCCACTAGACCAGGTTGCACCAAGCCCCATCCAACCTGACCTTGAACACTTCCAGGGATGGGGCAGCCACAGCTTTCCTGGGCAACCTGTTTCAGTACCTGACCATTCTCACAGTAAAGAATTACTTACTCATAGCTAATCTAAACCTACCTGCATAAAGTATTTTAGGTTTCATTTCCATAGAAGTTTGTTTCTCAAAAGAAAAACAGCTTTTTGGCCTATTGGAATATAGAAATTAAAATGTGAATATTCTTATCTCCTTAGGTTCAGGTCCTATACACAGGATTCTTAGGTAAATAACTATGCTACAGCAACTCACCTTCAACTGCATTGGATGTGTAACATTCCTCAAATTCAATAGAGCCTTTAAGAAATAAAATCAAAGATAAACATTAGGTTAAATTTAATCTCAAATGAAGGTTAAACCCTAAGATATTTTAACAACTATTAATATATTCTGAAAATACTAAATAATATAAATAAAAATTTAGGTGGCAACTGAAAACCACAATTTCTCTGCCAATGGTCAAACACTGCAAAATCATACATGTACAGTGAATCATTAAATATTTTCACTCTTTCATACTGAAAAATTAAAATACTAGTGCACTCTGTCTAAATGCAATTTAATTTCCTATGTTATTATAACCACATGAAAATTTTTTGATTTATTTCCTCTTCTCATTCTAAATTGCATCTATAATATAGTGCAAGGTTTTTAACTTATCTTCTTTTAATGGACAAGAGCTATGTAAAAAAAATCAAAAAGGTAAAAGCATGACAGGAAGTATGTGGGAGACTAGTTACCCAGGACATGGAGAAGGCTGAGGTACTGAATAACTTTTTTGCCTTGGTCTTTACAAACAAGTGCTCCAGCCACACCACCTGAGGTACAGAAGGTGAAGGGCAGGGATCGGAAAAATGAAGAACCACTAGCTGTAGGAGAAGACCAGGTCTAAGACCCACAGTTGGACTTGATGATCTTAAAAGTCATTTCCAACCTTAACAGTTCTATGATTCTATGAAAAGAAGTGTGGCCAGTAGGTTGAGGGAGGTGATTCTTCCCCTCTACTCTGCTCTGGTGAGACCCCAACTGGTGTACTGCATCCAGCTCTGGGGCCCCCAACACAAGAAAGATGGAGACCTGTTGGAGCGAGTCCAGGGGAGGTCCAGGAAGATGATCAAAGGGCTGGATTACCTTTCTTATGAAGATAGGCTGAGAGAGTTGGGCCTGTTAAACCTGAAGAAGAGAAGGCTCCAGGGAGACCTTAGAGCAGCCTTCCAGTACTTAAAGGAGGCCTACAAGAAGGCTGGAGAGGAACTTTTTGCAAGGGCATGTAGTGATAGGACAAGGGGGAATGGTTTTAAACTAAAAGAGGGTAGGTTTAGATTGGATATTAGGAAGAAATTCTTTACTGTGAGGGTGGTGAGGCACTGCAACAGGTTGCCCAGAGAAGCTGCGGGGGCAGTGGTTTAGTGGAAGGTGTCCCTGCCCATGGCAGGAGGGTTGAAACTGGATGAGCTTTAAGGTTCCTTCCAACCCAAATCATTTTGTGATTATATCATTCTATAACTATAGCCCTAATTTTGAGATTCATGTTTTTTCTGTTTCCTCTTCATAGCCAAATATCTGGACAGCTAAAAATTATGTGCAGAATCTTAAACATAGCAATAAAGAAGATAAAAACTTTTTAAAAAATCTTTAAGGCTACACAGGACAAAAAAACTGAGAGCACTGGTTAAAAGTGCCTTATCTAAATAAATTTATTATTATGATTTCCCATTATAGTTATGTGACAGATGCACTCAACCCCTTAACTGAACTAGGAGTAGTTTGGTACAGGCTCCAAAGGACATAAAAGTCTGAGCTGTAGAAAGGCCAAGAGTTTATCTAGTTCCAATCTGTTCTCTGAAAACCCACAAAGGGGCAGAGTGATCCAGTGAGCATCAATGCTTATGAGCTTGGAACACCAATCATGCGATGAACACATGAGTAGCAGGTGATTTTTCCAAGACTCATTTATCAAGGAACAAAGAAAATTGTGGGTACAAGGAGTCTCATGCATACCTTTCCCATTGTATGCAATTTGACTACAAGCCAACCACTTTATTCCATAAATATGACAGTCTAAGTGAGCCTTCTTTGAGCTCTCCCTGTTAAGCATCTGGCTCCACGGTAGTGATCTTCCCTTGAGCTGGGATGCCTCTCAAGGTTGCTCCTCAAGATCAAGAGATCTCCTACCAAGTGCAGTTCTTTGGTAAGTGACTGATATCACTTATAACATTATAATATAGAGCACTAAGATTTTGTCGTGGTAACTTTGTTGTATCCTTTGTGCAGTACAGTAATAGAGCAAACCTTGCCATCAAACTTTGTCACACTTTTATAACATCATATTTCAATAAAAGCACTTTTGCCAATGCTTTAGGCTGTGGTTCTTAAAGTGGTCTAAATTTCCCATTAACGACAAATTGGAGTAGTTAGTAGGATCCTAGATCAGGATTCGTTGCAAGTTGAGGCAAGGTAAGTCAGTTGTCATTGCAACCATTAGAACCATAGAATTGTTAAGGTTGGAAAAGACCTTGAAGATCATCAAGTCCTACTGTTAACCCAGCACTGCCAAGCCCATCACTAAACCATGACCTCAAGTGCCACATCTACATGTTTTTTGAACACTTCCAGGGATGGTGAATCCACCTCTGCCCTGGACAGCCTGTTGCAATGCCTGACCACTCTTTCCATGAAGAAATTTTTCCTAATATCCAATCTAAACCTTTCCTGGTACAACTTGAGGCCATTTCCTCTTGTCCTGTTACTTGTTACCTGGGAGAAGAAACTGCCCCCCACCTGGCTACAACCTCCTTCCAGGTAGTTGTAGAGGGTGATAAGGTGCACCCTCAGCCTCCTTTTCTCCACACTAAGCAACCCCAGTTCCCTCAGTCACTCCTCATCAGACTTGTGCTCCATACCCTTCACCGACTTTGTTGGCCTTCTCTGGACACACTCCAGCACCTCAATGTCTTTCTTGGAGTGAGGGGCCCAAAACTGAACCCAGGATTCGAGGTTCGGCCTGACCAGTGCCAAGTACAGGGGAACAATCACCACCCTGGTCCTGCTGGCCACACTGTTGCTGATACAAGCCAGTTTAGCATCTTTGCACTGTGATAGAGGGGTTATTACTTATCTTTCTGTAATGATTTTGATGGAATATACACAAGTTTATATATACATACATTAAAGGAGGAAAAAACCCCACAAGGCTGTTCCCAATTCTATACTGTAAGGTAGTCAAACTTCCTTCCCCCACCATTGCACCTTATGCAACTGAGACACTGAAATCTTGAAAATTTAATTACAAGCAACTAGAAGTAAATAGATTGTATAAACCTCAAATACAGAAACTTCTCAAAATACACATGCTAATAAGTACTGTAATTTATCTATCTTTGTTATGAAATTACAATTATTCTAAAGCATCCACCATAAAATAAAAAGTGTACTTGCAAACATTTTCCAGTGTTTTCACTTGAACTTTTTCAAAGTGAATATGTCAGTCTTAAAATAAGTAGCTGATATAAACAGATTTTAGACACAAGTTTCAGATGTTTTTAAGTAGTAGAACATAGCAAATCATTGGATATGCCACAGTGAAATTAAAAAGTAATTTAGATGTGAATTAACATCGTGAATTGCACAACTGGAAGTAACTGCATGAAATTAAGTACCTCATATGGTTCTATTTGTAATGTAACTCCTAACATGTACATTTAACTCTTACAGTGTAAATCTGTGTTTAATTCATTATAGCCACAATATTTTCATAGAATTTCTCAAACTTCAAATGAAAAAAATTATGCTTTTGTCAAACAAATAGCAAGACAATTGAAAATCTGATGATGTAACTTGATACTCACTAATGCTAAATTAATGTAATTATTTTAGACATTAGATAAAATCTACCAAATATTTTCTCTAAAAATTTGAAGAGATCTAATAATTTTTTTTATAAAAAAGGTGTGCTCAAAGTAATTACTTGTATTTATTGTAATTAAGACCAAGTCTGCAAAATTTTCCATGCCAGTAAAAAAACCTGGGAGTAGAATCCATCAAACATCATAATGTAATTGTTTAGCTACCAAATAAAGCTCTTGAGGACAGAATATCAAAAGGCCAATCTCAAAGCAGTCTTAAATGCCCTTTAAGTTTCTTTACCCTTCCCAGCTATTAAGACTGATATCCAGACTTTTAAGACTCTCCCACTAATGATTAAAATATATAAATATTCCAGGCTCAAGTAAAACCAATTCTTATTTCAGATCTCTAACCTTCACTTCTAACCGAAGAAAGATCTTTTTAACACAAAGTTTCTGTATTTTGTCCATTACAGTTGCCTAACATTTGTCTTTGAGGGTGTTTTATTTACAACTTGGTAAGAGACAAATACTCATGCTTAGTACTGAAACACACACAGATATGATGATCAGATTAGTAATTTAAATTTTATTTAATAGAGGTCAGCTTACCCCCCAAAACTTCACCTCACTATTGCAACAATGTATTCTTTTCTCATTGAGAAGACTATAAAACACGATCTGAGAAACTCTCAATTACTGAAGAATTGGCAGAGATAGTAATGAGATGGAAGCCATGCAAAAAAATTCAGTAAGCAGGTCCCACTTTTCTCTACAAAGCCAACTTGGAAATGGACTGGCCCTACCAGGCAGGAGTAACTTTTGATTTATTATTAAATCCCTTGGAGTAAATTAAAGAAAAATGATACTAGATTATCAGTGTTTGCAGATATATATATATATAGGATTTATTTTAGAACAATTTGGTTGCAAAGCAAAACAGGTATGTATTGTTTTGGTTGTTATTATCTATAGTAATATGGCAATATAAAGCATAAAGGTATTGAAAAGCAAAACAGGTATTTAGCCATTTAGGTTTCAATATAGCCACCCAAGAAATATGTAAGGGAAAAGAGAGAAAGAAAAAGAGAAAAGAAAAAAATTTATAGAGATTCAAAGGTCTCTGCCAAACCTGGTTGTTGTTGTCATTGGTGTCTTAGTCCATTGGGGAGTGGTGGAGAAGCCCACACAAAATTCAGTGGGTATATATACCCTGAGAAACCCTCCTGGGGGGGGCGATTGCTTTTGCAGAGCCTGGAGGTACTGGTTTTTGCAAAGTCATTTAGACTTGGGGGGGAGAGGGCCACCCCAGAGGCACCCCTGCTAAAAGCCAGACATTCTCTAGGGCAGTTATAGTCACCACTCAAAGGTTTCTGTAATAGAAGGGTTAACTTTGTTCATAAAATCTTATGTGTATGAGGGAATAAGGAACTTTTGTTATAATTCAACAAG